AATCCATGGATTAATTGAGTAATTAATCCTATTTCATTTGAGGAATTAATTCGTAAAATCCTGATTTTTTAATACTCAAGGACTAGTATTTGACTAGTCAACCTTTAAGTTGTGTTGTACCTTGTGCTTTGAGGGGAGTTCCCTTGTTCCTTACACTTTCTAAAGGTTAGTAAGGGTATTCTTGTCCTTTCACCAAGAGTTAGTATTGTAACATAACCTAGAAGACTTCTTTATTTCATTCCTTACAATTCTTAGAAATTAGCTCTACCTTCTCTCTAGAAAAGAAGTGTAGCTTATTCTCCAAGCCAAGTTGAGAACCTTGTCAAGATTTCAAGTTTTGCTTCCAAGATTCAACCTTTCACCTATTTGGGCATCTAGGAGGGTAAGATCTAAGTTTGTCTTGTGTTTTTGGTTCCATCTTAGTTGTCTTTTTCTTAAAGGTAGGATCTTTATGATCTTTTGGTTTGATCTTGAAGTGGGTTTGGATAGTAAGCCTTGTGGGGAGCTTGTTGTGGTGTAAAGTGAAGTCTTTTGGTCTACAAGAGGTAACCCATGCTCTACAAAACCTATTTTGCTTACCTATATGTGATTTCTTGGATTCTACATGTGTTTTGCTATGAAATGTGAGGGTTTATGCATTTGTCTTGTGATATTGCATATCTAGAGCTTGTGTTTAGGGTTCCTTTTGTGCCATTGCTTGGCATTTTCCATGGTTCAAGTCATTTTGTTGTATTGGGTGAGATTTGGCATGTTTTGGACTTGAATTTGTGTTTGGAGAAGAAAATCCCCGAAGGGATTATTTTGCACAGGAACGTGTACCCGCGGGCGGAACGGCGGGGAGAGCCCTACCCGCCGCCCACCCGCAGGTACATAGACTGTGGGTAGTGTACCCGCGGGCAGAACCACAGGTAGGGGCCTACCCGTGGGTCCACCCGCGGGGAACACAGTGGAGTTGGAAAGGGATTTGTTCCCCGTGATCCGTTTGTCTTGGTATTTGGTCTTTTGACTTCCCGTTGTTCTTTTGTGGAATTATTTGAGCGTCTTCTTGATGTTTCGTATGTCTAGAACTATATGGTAGGTATCCATGTAGGACTTTGGTGTCTTGAATCGTGCTAAGTGTTCAACATTGTGTTTCGTTGGACCAAGAGGTGTCTTGTGTGTTCCTCGGAACTATCTTGAGTTTCTCCGTTGTTAAGCATGCTAGTTTATTGTCTTAATGCTAGCGTGTGTGCGGTTTGTACCTTCCGTTTGGTTGATGATAACTTGTGTTATTCATCGTTGTTGTCGTTGGGTTGTGACCCGTTCCTTGATTGAGTTTGTTTCATACTTTCGTTGTGATCCGTTGATTGAGTCGTGTGAGTTGTGGTGCGTGTGTCGCTTTACCTGGATTGCACGATTAGTGGTATGGGACGCTAGTCACCAAGGTATTGCAGCGGTCCTCGTGGTGACCTTGACGTGATTATGGAGATGTGTTCCTTCGAGTAAGGTTCACGTGATTGGGGGATAACATGTGTTATCCGGGCATGTCTTTCGCCGTGTACGGTACCTTGTGTACTATGAATTGGTGGTTTTGTTGGTGGATTGTTGGTGGGGGACGACGGTCCCAGGAGGGAAAAGGTTGGACTAAGAAGTACAGGGGTCCTGGAGGTAATGGTTGGCATGAAGGTACAAGGTCGGGGGTAGCCATAAGGTTGGAACAGGGCATAAGGAAGGCATATCAACTAGTGATGGGTGATGTCACGAGGGCTTGTGTAGCCGTTGTTGTGAGTTCACTTTCTTGTGACGTGTGTAGTCACAAGGGCATGTGTTGTCATGGGTGAGTCTTATTCCTTTGTGTTGTGATTAACCTTTGCGGTTTGGGATGTGTTCCCGTGTTATCTTTTGTGAGTGATGAGTCTTGTGTTGACTGTTGATCTTGGCTTTTGACTTATATACTTATGTATTCCGTTTCGAAAATGGTTTTATGACTTATATCTATCTATATATGATACTTAACGGTATTGGTGGGTTACCAGCATTATCGCTGACCGGGCATCGTCCCAATGTTTATCTTTGTATCTTTCAGGTGATGTTTAGACGAGCGCGATGTCTAGAGCCTGGTAGCTTAGCACCTTTATCCTTGTTTTTGTGGCCTGTGCGCCAATGTAGTTAGACTGATGTTTTGGGATAGATGTATACACTTGCAGATTGTTTGCCGTAGCGTTTACCGTGTTTGGTAGACGCGGCGTGACACCCCGTTGGATTTCTTTTATCCAGTTCTCGTTTTATCTTCCGCTGTGCTAGTTTTGTTGTTTAATCTACATGTGTTAGGGCTTTTATTTGGGCCTTGTTTGGGGGGTGTTACAGATCCGTTCATCTTTGAGTACTACAAAAACATGGCTACAAAGGAGTCCAATTCTTGCGTACATTTTGCATGTGCACGCTATGCTGTTGCTCCCGTCTTGGACTATAACGGTGTATCGCTCCTCGTTTTCATCCTCTATCACATATGTTTTCACCCCTTCTGCCTTGGTGAATGCTCGCACTAGACATTTAAAACAGGATGCACTTATTTGCTTTTGGACCTCATAAAAAATAGTCAGTGTGTACACTGCTGCTGTTGCGCGCTCAATGCTTAGGGAGGTCTCAAAATCTGGGGTCTGTCCGTAGCAACCTGCGCTTAATTCTAAGTTGTTATTTCGTTGCTTTCAAACCGCACGCTCGAAACGGCCGAAAAATTCAATAAGGCATAAGTGCCTGTTCATGTTACTATGAAAAATCCTATTCTCCGCCTCCGAACGGGAAGTGGTACGTAGTAGGCCATCCATGAACACATCATCGAAAAATGCGGGCACCCATGATGCACGCTCGTCGTACATACGGTTTAGCCATCGGTTTTCCTGTAGTCCATATTTTTCAATTACTGTTTTCCACCCAATCTCGAATTCTGCCCTCGTTGATTTCTCGTTCCACACAACAATGTTTAATGCCCCCCGAAATTCGTTGTTCTTTGACATCTCAGTTCCAACTTTCTCACTTACTTTGGTCATTATGTGCCACATACAGTATCGGTGCCGGCTACCTACAAACACATCTGCTATTGCAATCTTCATAGCTGGGTCTTGATCGGTAATTATTAGGGGTGGTGCAGTCCCCATTGCGTTCTTGAAGTGCTTCAATATCCAGCTGTACGACTCCACGTCCTCCTTATCAAGCAGCCCTGCTGCAAATGTCACACATCTTTTGTGGTTGTCTTGTAACACCCCCATTTTCAATACTAAATTTTCCTTACAATTATACTTTCTTAATTGAAAAATTCACTAATTACATAGCGGAAGCATTAACTAACCAAAAGAAATGGGTGTTACCGCCACGCTCAGGTATCTCTCTTATACCCAAACGCTAAGGCTAATAATACAACTTCAATAAACAACTCAAAATATGTATTAGTTCAAAAACAACTGACAATTCAAATGTCTAACTAATACATGATATATCTAGGTGGTTCGCTCATTCTCATGCCCAATGCTCATGCAAGAGTTCCTGCAAAAACAATTAAAGAACAAAAAACAAAGAAACACACAAATTAGCATTAAGCTTGTAAGATCTACTTCACCCCGTAAAACATTTTGCACATAGTACATAGGAGCAGATAATTGACATAAAGCATAGACCCTTTAAACATTTAATCTTTTATCATCAATAGAGCATAATCATATAGAGCATAACTCAAATATGAAATACTCAGAATTTCCAACAACCATAATTTCCCAACAATACTCATAATTTTTAATACCAAATCAGTAGTTCTCACAATGGATATTTTAGGAACCTTTCAAAAGTAATATATTTATTCCAACATGGAGGAACACCAATTCCAACATAATGGGCAGGGTCTTGTTTCATCAAGCCCTAGTGAACAGTAATCACTCTACTGGACACTACACAAAATCCCATTCAATCTCAAATAATGGGCAGGGTCTTAATTATTTAAGCCCTAGTGAACAGTAATTGTCTTTACTGAACACTACTCAAAAATCCCATTTAAACCAACCAAATAATGGGCAGGGTCTTATTCAATAAGCCCTAGTGAACAGTAATAAATCTACTGAACACTACGCAAAAATCCCATTAAAGTGGAACAGAACTAATACCTTAAGTGTGCACACCCCCAATGGGTTTCCAAGCCCAATAGGTAGTAACTAGTCCTAGTAGCCAGGATACGTTTCTACTGACTACTACTCAACAGGGTAAATACCCTAGTGGTAGACTCCGCTAACCACTTCTCAAAATACAACAGGACTAAAAGTCCTAGTGAGACATGATATGTTTTCACTGCTCACTACTCAAAACAACAGAGAGTTTTTAAGCTCCCTAGTGAGTCGGTATATTCAACCGCTCACTCCACAACAAACTGGGTCATAACCCAAGTATCCAGAATTTCACAACAGGATACTACACAAATCTTAAGAATCAATTTCCTTTATCCGCAATCTTTATAAAAGTGACAACATTACTGATATTTCTCAAGCAAACAAATTCTCAACACCTCAAATAAGGAATTGACAGAAATTTTCAGAAGACATGACCTGAATTGCAAAATTTATAGAAATATATTGGTAACACATTTTCAGGTGAAATTTTCCAGATACAAGGTACAGTGAGTCTAGATTATACACAAAAAGTTTCAAATCAATCCAAGGTCTAAAAGTATTTTTCCCGAATTATTTCCCAACACACTGCTGGAAATTCCCAAATTTCCGATCACTTTTCCGACCACTTATAAAGTTGGTCGAAAAAGGTGACATTTTTCAATTTTTCCGTCGAGGAGTTGGGTTGGACAGAAAATGGTCGGAAATACCAACTACCTAGTAGGAGTGGTCGAAAAATTTTCGGCCATTTAAAATTTATTACATTTGGTCTCTCTTTTTTTTTTTTTTTTTTTCGACTACCAAAAGTAGTCGAAATAGTAACTATATATATATAATATAAAGTTAGGGATTTAGACTTCAACAGTTCAACCCCTCATTTGCGCAGCTTGCCTTTCCACCTCTCCTAACCTAAAACTCGACGACTCCATGACTCCACCAGCCATCATCTCTGGTGACTGCCACAGTGGACAACTACTTGGTCTCCGGCTCGATCTCTGTCTCTCCGCCTCGATCTCCGTCTCTCCGACTCTCCGCAGCTAACAGCTGCCTCTCCGCTTCTCACCCTCTGACCCTCTCGGCCTCTTCGTCACTTCGCCTCTCCGGTAAGTCCTTGTAACCTCGATCATCTACACATGCTCATAGTCTCAAGTTCAACCGCACATTCTTTAACCTCTCTAGCTCTCCACATAGGAAACCCTAGATCTGCCTTCCAGACTTTGTGTTGGTCTGGTGACCGTCTTTTGCCATGAAAATGTAACAGGTAATTTACTGCCATTTTAGTTATTTATGATTTATGATATATTGTTCTTAAAATTCTTGAATTTTATGGATTTATGATCTTAATAATATATGTGAATATACTGTCATATTGTTGGATATTTTTGAAGTTTATGAATAATGAATTTGAGAACCTAAGTGAAATTTGAAAGGAATGCTAAGAATGTAATTAGTTTTCTTTTTCATTCTAAATTATGTAATTTATTTTCAATAAGACTAAAATTTAACTCCAATTATTCCCCCTGCTTCAGTCTGGTGATCTAGTCAGTCCATATTATTGTATATTGGTGTTCCTATGAAAAAAAATTATTGTATATTGGTGTATTGGGAGATATATGTTGTTTGTGTGTAGGGGTCCCTTTTGTCCCCCCTTAAAAAGGGAATAGAGTTGTATTAGTACTTATAGTGTTTCATTTTCTAAATAATAAGCTTCAGGATCTTGCTCGACAGCATTCAATTGTGCTCAAGAGCTTGTCGCCTGATGTCAGAAAGCGTGTTGAGTTCCTCAAGGAGATTCAGGTATGTGAATCTTGTACTAGTGTCTCATATTTTTTAAATGCTTGTTTGTTCTACGAAACTCCAATTCTATGTGGACATCAATGAAAGATATCTTACTCTGAAAATTCCAATGTCATTGAAGATTGTTTAAGAGGATTAAATGTTGTTAATTGAATTGACACAATAAATAGGGAAAGTGCCAAGTGAGGAATTATGTGAAATTTGGCATGTGTATGCTGTATTGATCCAATTTTAATTTAATTGTTGCTAATAAATTGAGTTTCTCATTGAGCAGTTTTGGTGATTAAAGAATGACTTTAATTTTTGCAAAGATTATATGGTATTGGTTAAAGATTAAATACCTTTAAGTTGTTTTCAAAAAAAAAAAAAAAATACCTTTAAGTTTTAGTGAATCAACCAGTTTATTTTATATGATTTGTTTTTTATAAGTAAATCAGAGAAGAAATTTCTCTATGGAACTTGAATGAACCAGTTTAAATACCTTTGATGGATTTGGTACTTTTTTTGGTGCTCAATTGTGCAGACTCAACAGGATGAATTGGAGGCAAAGTTTCTTGATGAGAGAGCAGCACTTGAAGCCAAGTATCAGATGCTTTATCAACCACTATATACAAAGGTTTGTAAGACTCTTTTACATATTATTATTATTATTATACATCTGCTGTTCCATTGGCTAGTAATCCTATGTCTCAAATTCATAATGAAGTGAAAAAATAAAACGTGCAGAGTTATGAAATAGTGAATGGTATAGTTGAAGTTGAAGTTGAGAAAGCTGAAGCAGTGTCTATGGACCACGAAGATGACCAAAACCGCAAAGAAAGGAGTTCCACATTTCTGGCTTATTGTTATGGAGTATAATGAAGTGTTAGCTGTAGAGGTTAGATGTTGCATGAAGGAGCTCTTGAATATCTGAAAGACATTAAGTGATCCAGAATTGATAATCCAAAGGGCTTCAAGCTTGGATTTTTCTGTTTTTATGTTTGGAATATTTTTCTGATTACTTTTTGTATTAATGAGTTACCATATGTTATTGTTTTTATGTTTGGAATTTTGAAAGTGTATTCAGAATTTTAAATTTCTTTTTGTTTATATTTAATTTGGTATGAGATTTGCTACCATTAAGAAGGTTTATTCACTTTTATCTCTGGAAACTGACATTTCTTGTTAAATGGTTATTTGGAGCAATTAAGAAATCAGGAAGTTTTTTTCCTCACTTCAATTAGCTGTAATATACACATGTTTTCTCAAAATTAATTCGTAATGAATTTTCCTTCAATAGCATTGTTAATCAGTATAGTTTTATTTAATTTTGTTTTTATGTTTTCTATCTCAAAACAATTGGGATGGTGCATATTACTGCTGCTATGAGTTGTACTCATTTGCACTGCTAACATTAGCTATTCTTATTTTCAGGATTCTGTAAGGGAATAGAAGTAGCAGAAAAGGGGATTGAGGCTGCGGAGAAAGGATTTATCAAGGGAATATAAGAGAGTGAAACGACGGTGAGACTTTCTGTCTTAGATTGTACTCTTCTTGGTTTAATCGATTCTTTTTTATATTGTTCATTTCTTTATAGTGGTTTACTTTGATTTCTGTCTATGGTTTTACTTTGTTGATGGTTCTTCATTCAGAAAGAAGGGCTTTGGAATCAGCAAGCCAAAATGGTCGTTCCCGCTTGGAAAAGACAGAGGACAGCTGGAGGAAGTTGGAGGTGAACGATGCTCGGCCTTCCAGGTTGGTGAAGCAGGCCTTTCTTTGATTCTAATTGTTATCCATATTTTATATATACTACTGATAATGTGATGAATTGCCATGTAGTTTAGTTCTTAATGTACTTTCTTGCTCTAGTAATTTGAGTTATTTCTCTGAAAGCATTTGATTATTAGCTCATTTACCTGTAAGTAATCTTATTGTTGCTGAATTGTAGTTTGCTCTTGGGCTTTATGGCTTACTACTCTATAACCCCATATCAAAAAATATGTAAGCCAACCACAATTGCATTACTATCATACTATGTCTAAATCTGTGTAATTCATAATGTATTTGGAAACTACTTTGTTTTTGCTTTAAAATCCATAATTTTATCTCCAAATTTTGAAAGCTTATAATACTCCACCTCTTTTTGGTTTATTGTATACTAAGAGTATATGTATGTTTGTGAATTGTGATTTCTTACTTTGATTGATCCCTTACAGAGCTAAGTGCTCAAATACCCCAAGTAGAAGCTTCCTTTGAGTTGGAGCAGAGAAATCAAGAATCATCAATGGAGGAGATAACGGAGGGAGTGAACGACATCAACATTAACGGAGGCAGCGACGGTGACATTCAAAAGAAAAAATCGCATTCAGGTCTCCAACACTAAGAAGCTATTGTTCTTCTATGTCAATATTGCCAAGGTTTAACCCTTAACACCCTCACCTCGTTGGTTTTGATATACATGTATGTATATGTATATATGTGTAATAGTATAGATATGAAGTTGAGGGATTACATATTGATCTGCTGAATCTGAAGTTGAGGGATTGCATATTTACATGTATAGGTGTGAGCAAATGTTCTTGAGTATTACTCTGTTTGAATTAAAGGATTGGTCTTGTGGTCTGTGTTTTCTGCAGAGGTATATGCAGCAGCATATTGAGGTGGAGCTTTCTGCTCTTGGAAAGGGTATGGCTTTATGGTCCTTGACTCCTTCTAGCTTTTCCTGCTTTTATAATTTCTAGACGTTTTAACCCGGAACTTCTGTGTTTTAGAGTTTATATGATTGATTAATGTTTGATTTCTCTAAATTGTTAATTGTTTTGTTGAATTTAATATTGTAATGCTGAAATTTGAATTTCAATTGTAACCGGTCAAATTCATTTGATATTTGCAGAATTTTAAATTTTATTTTTTTTGTTAGTAAATCTTACCGACCACCTTAGAGGTCGGTAATTCACATTTTAATTTTTTTCTTTATAAATTTTACCGACCACCGGTTGATGGTAATTCCGACCAATTACCGACCACCAGTGGTAGGAAATATGCTCTCTTTATCCGACAACCACTAGTTCCGACGTCTTAAAAAAGAAGTTGGTATTTCCGACCACCTTGACTAGTTGTCGGTAATAGCTAGGGTTTTTTTCCGAATCCATAAAGTGGTCGCTAAGTTGGTCGGAAACTGTATTTCCGACCGAAAATGCCCCTTTTCCGACCACTTTTTGGTGGTCGGTAAAATGCAGATTTCCAGCAGTGACACTGCGCCAGACAGAAATTGAACTGGCAGCACACTGCCTCCACTTTACGAAATTTTTCTGGAAATATCGAAACATATTTTTAACCCAAACTTTTTACAAAAATAAATTATAAAAAGTCTAGGTTCTCCATAAAAACATTCAAGCAAAAACACGTTTAGGAAGCATTTTTCACGAATTTTTCTTTCCAGCTGTGCTAGTCAGAATTTTCACAGGCAATAATCAGATTGAGTAAAAATTTTTCCTTTTTAATCACCACAAAATCACCATATCACATATGCAGGGTTTTCAACACATCTAAACTGAGTAAACTCATATATCTATCCACATAATATAACCAAATAACTTACAACACTAAATATCATCAATTTTTTTTCAAACTCATGAATCACATAAACAATTAGAAAAAAATCAATTTTTGATTTGGGGTAAAAGGATTTTAGTGAACATAAATCTTACCCGGGCTAATTAAAAGTTGAAATACTCAGCGCACATCCGAAACACCTATACTCATCGACCCTCGTCTGCGAGCTATAATTGATGATGATGACCGGACTATGTTGATGAAGGAGGAGACTAACGTTTAATTTGTTTTTATTCTTTCTTCTACCTGAATCCAAAAACAAACAATTAGTAATCCGTCACATATTTAGGGTTACAATTCATACGTTAGCATTGCACACTCATCTCTCACGAATGTTTAATCTATATTTGACTCCAAAATAGCCCTGGTGTGTAGTCACATGCCCCTATTGTTAATTACACATGAACATACTGCAAATTACACTTGCCCATACTAATAACTAAACTTGCACATACATAAATGCAAATCTATCACCACGTATTAACCACCCTGCACAGACCACCGATGATTTCAGATTACGCTCTTTAGTAACAATACAACTATTCACGCTGTAGCTGCCCTCACCGTTCACTATTACTACTACAGTTCACACCCTCACAGACACACACACCATTCACATTACGCTCTTCATTTACAGTATTCATAGTCATCCGCACAAACCCGGACCTTTCTACTCAACTTTACCATTACGCACCCATGTATTTAACTAAGCTATCTCATACCTGTTTATTTTGTACATTGCATCAAAGGATACCACATCGCCAAACGCACCGTAGTTTTTTCTCACCAAACCATCCGCCCAGAACACACGAGATAATTGATCATATGAATTAACCTCGTATTCAAAGTACATATCTGCGCAATCCGTTTTTTGTTCAAGGTAGTTTGAAATTACCATTTTCACATCTCCCCACTTCATGTACGCTAATAGCTCTCTCCTGTAATTCTTAAAGTCCTGTTGCGTCGCACCCACGTTCTCGGGACCACCAACCATCTCCGCATATATGTCGAAACTCTTGCTTGCACCGACGTTAGCTTTTTCGCAATTTGTGATGAATTGCTGGGTTGCGATGTCCAATTTCCGATTGACTTTCATAAGTGGTTTGTACCTTTCCTCGCATAGACAGTGTGTTTGTTTTTATTCAAACTTGTGTACTTTATATCTCCGATCACTATCCATCTTCAAGACAATCTTAACGCCGCACCCAACCCTGTTCGTGGTCCGACGTCATTTCTTTTGCAAACTCCCTTCTTTAACTGATGTTTCTTTGCCCCTTGTCTCCTTAAACCCTTGACGTGAACACACCACATCTTTTTTCAAAACAACTCCATAGTTGTTCTTTATATCCGAACTACAACGCACATCAAAACCAGTTGTTGCAGCATACTTCGTATAGAATTGGATTCCATCTTCTAGTTTATTAAAAATTTGGCCTTCATAAGGTCTCATGCTACGGTCGCATTCTGTATACCAAAATTTCGTACCTCCAGGACTAATTTCCATTCTGCAATCCTTTTCTGGTTCCTTTTCACCGGTTTGCTATGCAATGCACTCACCTGTAACATCTGTTTCGTATCGAGACAATCACCAAATCATGTCATTATGCTACGCTACTGTCATTGGAATGCATTTTGTTAATTTATCAACTTTAATTTGCCTGAATAATTTGTAGCAATTATAAAGTCACTCGTTACTAATTGCTTGTTCGTAACATGCACGTGCTCACAATCTCAGTAAAACAGCATAGAGTCCAAACTTCCGCATGGAAAAAATTCAGCATGCATGGTGTTGCTTTTTATCAACTTTAGAATGCATAAATAATATGTACCTATAATTTTCTCGATCGATACTTAATTCTTAGACGTCATATGCACATACTCACAAACACATTTGATAAGCGTTCCATGCACATGCTACGAATATAACATACACAGGCTGAAATATTTTGCATGCATGGGAACAACATAACATGCATATAAAGTCCTAACTTGCACATGGGAACACAAAAGCATGCACAGGCTGAGAATATAACGCTAATACCCTGTGTCTTACAGGCACATGTTCAGGAATTAACTCGCAAAGACCATCCCTCAAACGTGCACGGGTGTTAGCCTAACTAGCATACTATAATACAAACGTCTAACATGTCTGTTAACCCAATGTCTTTTTTAGCTAACCACATATCATATCAACACACAATGTCTGATTGCCTATTCGACTTTTACAAAATCAAGACATTTCATACTAAACGCACATGTGCAATGTGATTTGTATTAAACTCCTTCCGCATGCCCTAATTGCACACACTACGGACACTTGGCACACATACTTATCAAAATAGCTACACAGACATACAGAAAACCAAAAAAACTTGCACATACCTCCTTCAGCATACGACATCATTGTTGAGGAGAGAACCCAGCGCATAATCTTTGTTTCCGTTTACTAATTCTTAATTACATCTCACACACTATCAATTCTTATTTGTTGCCATTAATATATTATTCAATCACATAATTAGTTGATCCTTTGCATGGAATATATTTCAATTTATTCCTATCCATATATAGCTCCAATAATACAATTACATATTCACCCTTATGCATAGTGTACTACCTTCAATATAAAATAAATCTCTTTCAATCTCACCCTTTGATATGCAATGATTTAATGGATGAGATGAGGCCTCATCATCTCATCCATCTAAGTGACCTCATGGGATCCGGAGCCTATATATATATATATATATATATATATATATATATATATATATATTATATATATATATATATATATATATATATATATTTATTTATTTATTTATTTATTTATTTATTTATAAACGACAAATTATATCATGGATCACGGCCTACCTTACATTGTGAACCTTAGTTCAAAATAATATTCAAATTATGTGTCCACTTGTTCAGTGAATTGAATCATTTCTAATAAGGACAATAGGTGGCCAATGTGGTTAACTCCACAAGTGTTGTAGTGCATCACATGTGCCATGTGCTACGAAGTTATTAAGGTGTCAAACTTTTTGTTGAGTTTCTCCAATTGGGCTGCTATCATTGAGACTAAATCAACCTCATAGACTGCTCATTCCTTGTAAGTTCTTGCAAGTTTCTCCCTATCAAAAGAGTGCAGCGATAAATGTTAAGAGCTATCTCTTCAATCAGCGTTTGGACTGCATGTGTAACACCTCCGAAAAAATGCTATATAAAAGCCTTAAAACATGCAGATAACGGAACTAAACAATAATCACAGCGAAAGACCGCGCACTCGCCTAGACATCACCTGAAAGAACACAATAAAACATGGGACGACGCCCGGTCAGCGAATAATGCTGGTAACCCACCAATACTTGTGAAATAACATACATAAGTAAGATATAAATTGTAAAGCCAATTTCGAAACAGAATACAAATATATAAGTGCAAAACCAAGAGTAATAGCCAACATAAGACTCAACACTCTCAACAATAACACGGGAACACATCCCAAGACCACAAAGAACAACACAACTCGCAAGAAGTCTCAAGGTATGATCTATCATCACACAATATATCAAAACCTGACATGCACGACGCAAAGGAATAAGACTCACCCACGGCAACACATGCCAAGGCAACACATGCCAAGGCAACACTTGCCTTTGTGACTACACACGTCACAAGAAGAGAACTCACAACCATGGCTACACAAGCCCTCGCGACATCACCCATCACGAGTTGATATGCCTTCCTTATGCCCGGTTCCAACCTTATGGCTACCCCCAACCTTGTTCCTTCTTCCAACCATTACCTCCAGGACCCCTGTACTTCTTAGTCCAACCTTTTCCCTCCTGGGACCGTCGTCCCCCACCAACAAACCACCAACAAGACCACCAATTTCATAGTACACGAGGGTACCGTACACACACACTGCAACACATGCCACCCAAGAATCACGTGAACCTTACACAAAGGTCACAACTCCATAATCACGTCACGGCCACCACGAGGACCGCTGCAATACCTTGGTGACTAGTGTCCCATACCACTAATCGTGCAATCCAGGTAAAGCCACACACCACACCTCAACAGGTATCAATCAACGGATCACAACGATGATATGAAACCATACCCAATCAAGGAATGGATCACATTCCAACAACAACGATGAATAACACAAGTTATCATCAACCAATCGGAAGGTGCAAACAACACACACGCTAGCATTTAAACACCAAACTAGCATGCTTATCAAACGGGCAAACCAAAGGTAGTTCCGAGGAACACACAAGACT